AGCTTACAGAGATTCCTCGTGATTCTTCCAGTGGAGGGCAGGACCTCCACTCCACCATCCCTCCCCCTCCTCTCCATGGAAATAGCAGGGCATCTGTCTCCCCACATCTACAGACTCCTTGAATCCACCAGAGGCAAGTAGCTGGTGAGCAGAAGCCTCCCACCTCTCTCCCCTCCCGCCTCCTGGCACCCATTCACAGCACCTCTCAGTAAGGATGCATGCTGCTGGGGACTGCTACACTCCAGGTAGTAACCCCACTCCAGGGAGCATCCTACCTCATGGAGCGGGGGACCACACAATATATGGCAAGCTCTGGGCCAGATGGCCCATTCCTCCTGAGCAGTGCAGCAACCAGGGGGCAGGAGGGACAAAGGGGGAGGGGACAAAGGCAACTTTAAAGCACTTTTGTGCCTTCCACATTCTTGGTCCGGCCCCTGGCATAAGTTAGAGCAGCCTCGGGGCTCTGAGCATCTTGAGCTGCTGGAAAGCATTTGTCTGTCCAGGCTGGTTTTGTGCCAGCTTAGGAGCCTCCTTATGTTGGGCTAATTCCCCAACGGCCATTTCTCCTTCCATTATAGCTCCCGTTCACCATTGGACTGACACGAAGGGGCTGGGCCTCTGCCCCTGGCAGCCAAGTGGCGCAGCTCTGTCCCTGCGGTTAGAATCCAGTCAAGTGCAAGTCCTGCACCAATTAACTCCAGAGAGACTCAACTGTGGTTAGCACTAGAAGGCTGACAGGTGAGCAGTGCTGCCAGACCATTGGAATCTGTAGCAGCAGTAATAACAGTAAGGAAGTCGCACATTTCTTTAGCGAAGAATTCGGTATTATGGAAAGGAAATTTCACTGCTGCAGTCTCCAAGAAGCTATCTTTTCGGAGGCGTTACTGTGTCACAGCCTCTTCTGTACTTGAGGATTATTGGTGGAACATGATTTATATTGACATGCAAATTTAATGAGAGGAAGGTTTTGATTCTTTCTCCTCTCTGTAGGTTTATACTATTTCCCTGAGGTGGAAAAATGCTCTTTCCAAGAAATTCGTTATGTGCAAATGTCTCTTTTCTCCAGTATATTAAAACCAATTAAAGAAATCATTCTAAGAATGTAATCACATTTCATTTCTGTTGGCCAGAATCAACATGAATGCATTAGATCATATTTACTTGCAGTGCAGTTACCGTACCTATGTGTATGATGATCTATGTAAAATATGTAGGATACGGTAGATAGATGCTATGTACAGGTAAATTATACATGAAATGGTGCGCTATGAATTATTTCAAAGTGTTTCTATTAAATGCATTAAAAGAAACTCATGTTAACTCTGCATTAAGGATGTGCTGTTATAATCAAATAGTCAGGAAATGCTGAAGTCAAACACCTTACAGCAGGGATGTTACCTCAATTGTACATCCTGGTACACCTAACAAAACAAACCTGAAGAATACTCTATTAACCAATCACCTACCAACATCCTACAACCATCCTGCAAGGTGCTGAGCCTTCCACTCCCAGGAGACACCGTGACGGTTGAGGGCATCAAATATCTCATAGGTGATAAGGGGCCCATGACGTGCACAGCCTAGGTTGCCTCAAGCCTTTATATGGAAAACACTCACACTTCATGAGCTGCCCACACCTGGGCATGGCCCCTCCTAGATCTGCATGGCTGGAATGTTTTAAAAGGCAGGATCATGCACTCTGTGGAGCAGCTTGAGCCTCCATCAGGAATTCTGGCGGAGCCCTGCACCAAACCCATGGCTGGCACTGAAAACATGGGCTCCTACGAGCAAGAAACACTTACTTGGGTTACATACGGAAATGGATGTGTTCACACAGCCATTATGAGGCAATGACACGGTTGTTCACAAAACTGCCACAGACTTTATAGAATTTGTGAAATAAAGACTCTAGCAAACAATAGTCACATGATATGATAAATATGAGTCAACAGTGTGATGCTGTTGCAAAAAAAAGCAAACGTGATTCTGGGATGTATTAACAGGTGTGTTGTGAGCAAGACGCGAGAAGTCATTCTTCCGTTCTACTCTGCGCTGGTTAGGCCTCAGCTGGAGTATTGTGTCCAGTTCTGGGCACCGCATTTCAAGAAAGATGTGAAGAAATTGGAGAGGGTCCAGAGAAGAGCAACAAGAATGATTAAAGGTCTTAAGAACATGACCTATGAAGGAAGGCTGAAAGAATTGGGTTTGTTTAGTTTGGAAAAGAAGACAGAGGGGACATGATAGCAGTTTTCAGGTATCTAAAAGGGTGTCATAAGGAGGAGGGAGAAAACTTGTTCACCTTAGCCTCTAAGGATAGAACAAGAAGCAATGGGCTTAAACTGCAGCAAGGGAGGTCTAGGTTGGACATTAGGAAAAAGTTCCTAACTGTCAGGGTGGTTAAACATTGGAATAAACTGCCTAGGGAGGTTGTGGAATCTCCATCTCTGGAGATATTTAAGAGTAGGTTAGATAAATGTCTATCAGGGATGGTCTAGACAGTATTTGGTCCTGCCATGCGGGCAGGGGACTGGACTCGATGACCTCTCGAGGTCCCTTCCAGTCCTAGAATCTATGAATCTATATTTAAATTCACAAGCTCCAAGCTCATAACATACTGCGACTTAACTTAAAACAATGGAGAGGCAGACTGCAGGTGTCTCTATATTGTCAACAATGCAGCACTCTCCCACAAATCACGGGAACGTGAAAAACCCCAGACTTGGATTTTGGCTGACGATTCTGCTACTTGGAATGAGAAGGAAACCTGCATTTTACTGTCCTCCCTGAAATGACTTTTAAAACACTGGTGTCATGGCTCAGTGAAAATCCTTGGCTGCTGGATTCTCATTTTGAATTTGGAGTGCTTTGGTGGTGGAGAGGGAATAACGTTTTCAGAGTTCCTGCACTATGTTGCACTCTCTGAGCTGAGCAAATACATGCCTCTCCTTTTATGAGCCTCACTCAGCTGCTGCTTTGTGCCACTGGGAGCCATCTCAGTTCAGCCCCAGTCACTTTCAGAGGGCAGAGGAACACCCCACGACTCAACGTCTGACAAATGCATACCTGAAAGTATTTTTTACCCTTTCATTCAAGAAGACAAAAGCATGCAAGAAATCCACAGGGCAAAGAGACTCGAAGAACTGGAGTTTGGCGCATGCTGTGGTCAGCCACAGTAAAAAAATTAAAATAAAATCAAAATCAAAAACTGCACCTGCTCAAAAAAAGCTGGGCTTGATTCACCAGGCTGTTAGACCAGGATTACACTGGTGTACGGCCACTGAAATCAAATTATACCAGCAGAAAATTGGTGTAACACAAAGTGAATCGAGCTCATTGCTTTTATCCTCCACTGGCACATGAGTATCAGCTCGGAGGGAGGCCATTACAGCTTCAAATACCTTTTGATAAGATCTCTCAAAATAAAATCTTAAGGGTATGATCATCCTTGGAGATGCACTCACACCACTGCCATTGACTTCAATGGGAAACCAGAGAGAGAACAGGGATTTGAAACCCAGCGCTTTTCTGTCATACGGCAAAAACATTTCTCTCCAGTGTGAATTAATAGATGTGGTGGAATAAGGACAGGATGAAGGGTGATATCAGAAATGCACCATGTAAAATACTGTGAAGGTTTCCTTTTGTATTTATCATTTTCAGTCTCACTAGCCTGCCTACAGCATGTGTGCACACTTATATATATATTTTAACCAACTATTATTCTTTTTAGCTGAGTCAATCTCTTGTCCCTGAGGAGCTTTTATAATTACATTAGAGGCGTCTTTTTTGCTGTAACTTACAGACGTGACAAACGATCTTGAAAAGTCTGACACTCAACCATGGATATCTGCTATCTACAGACTTATCATACACAGTAGATTTCCTCATGGTGCAACTCCACCTCGGTCATGATTTCAAATCAGTGGCTCACAACGAAACAATTCTCTTGTCCCAATTAGAGATCATGGTCCTAAAACCTCATCAGACTGAAAGCTAGACCTAGTCATTGCTACGCAACAGGCCAGAAATGGAGCTAAACAAACCATCAAACTGGAACAAGAAATAAATTTCTCATTAACCCCGACAATAACTGGTTAATGGTAGAAAAGTATTTTCTTGAAATGCAAAATATTCAGAGAAAACCAAATCAGCTTGATTGCCACAGAACTCATCAGTACAAAACAGACCACACAGAATTGAAACACAACATGAAGAGAATTTCAGCCAACAGCTGAAAAGACACCAAAGTTTGAGTCAGTTCTGATAGTGGTTAGCGCAAGGTATTGGCCTCGGAGACTCAGGACTCCTGGTTTCTAGACCCAAATGTCAGAGTGCCCCTGTGTGACCTTGGGAAAAGCACTTTACCTTGCTGAGTCTTACTTTATCCCTTTATAAAACATTTATGATGTTTACCTACCTCTCAGTGGGGTAAAAATTAATTGGCCTGATCCAACACCCATTGAAGTAAATGGTAGTCTTTCCATTGACTTCCATTTAATGGGCTTTGGATTAGGCCCAATGTTTGTAAAGTGCTTTGTACATTGCAGCTGAAAGGTACTATACAGTGCCAAGCCTGGCGAATAAATTATTACTAACAATTCTCCACAGAGGGCAGTGCCAGGTCTGATGAACTGGTAGAGCAAGTTAACAGGCTGTTTGTTTAGTCTATGGACTATTGCTTTCCAAACCAGTCTGTAAACCTTGGCAATACAGTTTAAAGCATGTTTCTGCAAGTTGTGAGCGCCTGTCTGAGGTTGTTTCAGTGCCAGTAGAGCTAGAAAGAGATGATCATGACCTAGGCCACCATCTTCTCTTTCAATATTAAATGGCACCATCAATGCTAATGTCATTTCCCTCTAAACACAATGTAGCTATATAGTTACAGGTAACTATAATGAGAAGAAATTAGGGAACAGAAAACATGAACTTCTATTTTCCTCCCAATGTGTTTGCGTTGGGAATTCAACAGTGCTTTGGGGCAGGCCCTCAGCTGGTATAAATCAGTGCAGCTCTTTTGAACTCAGTTGAGCTGTGTCCTTTTTCACCCCCTGAGAACCTAGCCCAAAGGATAGCGTCATTTTCACAGCTTCCCATGTAGTCAGTCTGTCTGTCCCTTGCTGAAGGGAACACTACAAACAACAGGGGAGCAGAAAACCACTTAAAATAATAGGCAGGAATTGCAATTCTGGGCAGCCTTTTTCCAGGTCAAGCAAGGAGGCCCCTGACTTCCTCCCATCCGCTCTAGGACTATATGGATGGGGACAGGATTAAACCCTTGTCTTTTCTTTCAAGAAAAGAAAGTTCCAAACATTTAAAATAAAAATCAGAAATGAAAGCAGACACATTAAGAACGAGTGCGGAAATTCTCAGTGGAAAAAAAGAGCAGTGTTAAATGGCTGTTAGACATCTATGACTTTGTATTTTAAAACGTGTGTTCATGGCATAATACTACTACCAGCAAGAAGGGGTGGCCCGTTGAGATTCAAATATAAGAAAATATTGCTTCCAGTAATCTAACAGATGGGGTCATTGGTATAACAACTAATGGGAGAATACAATACTGACATGAGCTAATTTTACAATGGCATGAGCCATTAGGACCACCGATATGTTTCAGGCCTGTCTCTAGTCGTGATATCCACCCCTAACGGACTTGTTCAGACTCTCACCATACATGAGACAAGGGGTAAAGTGACATCTCACAGCAAACATAAAGGAAATGTTTGGTTTACTCACACGCACAAAGCAATAGTTTAGTGATCTTCACAGCTTTATTTTCTTACAAGGTGGGGGGTGAGGTTGGGGTGATCACTTTTTTCTTATAAAAGACACAGATTTTATTCAAGACACTGCTTTGCATTCACTGCAGAAACGTATAATGCTCTAAATCCAAGACATCACCTGCGTATTACATTTCAAATCACGCGAATGTTCCCATCGATATGGATTAGAATCAGGGTCACGGAACTTTAAATCAGAAAAAAAATGAAAGTGGTTACTTACTGATGTGTATAGGTATCCTTCACTGTTCATTGCCAAATACAATTTTGTTTGAACCCCTTGAATAGCCACCACTCGTAAGCCCACGGGTATGAGGTTAAACAAAGCTAGGAGAGAAAAGGACACAAATAGCAAAGTGAATCTTTTCAAATAATTATATGAGTTAGATGAGTAATGTATAATCATTACAACTATTGACAGTGGCTCTGGTCCTGCAAACACTTAATTCTAATACTTAGCTCTTATCTAGTGCTTGCCATCAGCAGATATCAAAGCACATTACAAAGGAAATCAGTATTGTTATCCCCATTTTGCAGATGGAGAAACTGAGGCACTGAGCGGTGACGTGACCTGCTCAAGGTCACCCAGAAGGTCCAGAGACAGAGCCAATGAATAGAACCGAAGATCTCCTGAGTGGCAATACTGTGCTCTAACCACTAGGCCACACAGCTTCCCAGTATAGTAGTCATTCCATTAGCTTCAGTAACTGAACTACATATTTCCCTCAGTAGCTCTCCTCACAACGGTAACACTGCACTTGGTAATAAATGTCTTCAGGATCGGGCCCAAACACTGTACTTTCAAAATTAAACTGCTTTTAATTCTCTGCTAGCATTTCTCCTCAGAATAATCAATAATATTTTCAATATTTACAGCCAGAGAGGCCTATATTTTAATAATGTTGAAGTTGGTGCGTAGACTGGCAAATTGAAGAAATAAGCAGAGCTCAGTCTTGGCTCAATTTTTTGCTATTGTTGTTTGGCAGAGGAATTTTACCACCGTTTGAACCAAGTATTTTGTATCGGCAATTCCTGCTGTAGGATTAAAAAGAAATGGGGTAAAGACGAGTTATGAAAAACAACAGGTAATCCATAGAGTCTCCTTTAGACTGTGGCATAAATGCAGGGTTAGAACTACATAATGCCATATTGAATTTTATTTACAATGTTTTTTTACATGGCTGTAAAACTCCAATCTGCTTCAGGCTGAATTTTGGTATTTATGATCATTGTCTGAGGGTAATTTAAAACCAAACCACCGATCTGAAATAAATTATTGATTTATTTACAAAGATAGAAGAAAAAAAAGAACAGTTTTAAATTCCCTTTCAGCCTGACAATCCCCAAATGGACATGTTTAGTTACAAGAAAATTTGCAGCCTACCAGTGTTTAATACAGACCCTAAATTCTGGGAGTGTATCAATAAGACTTGGGGAAAACAGCAAGTTTTAAAATGTCCTTCTTAAAGGAGGAAGTGTCTAGGGTGTAAAAAAGGGACTGGAGACCACAGGCCAAATTCTTTACTGGTGTAAATGGGCAGAGCACCATTGATTTTAAAGGAATGTCTCCCATTTATACCAGTGAGAATCTGGTCCCAAAACTTTTGGGTTCTCTTCCTGCCCTGCCATCGCAGGGCAGGTTTGGGTGCCTCACTCTGAGGTACACTCTGCTGCTTCACTGAGTCACAGAGCATACATGCCCCCCAGAAACTGGCATCACACACATAGGCTCTCATGAGGCAAGAGGAGCAACTTGGCCGCTGGCCACACCTCCTTGGGGGTATGCTGTGTGAGCTAGTACGTCAACACATGCTACAGAGTTATCCTGACTCCCATGTCATACAAAATTTACTCCTGAAATTGGCCTTCCCTTCAGATGAAGCCCTTGCAGACAGTACGTCTCGTTTACATAGCACGGTGAGTAATCAGTGTGGAAAGACACCTAAGAGTCTCTTGTATATTGAACACCAATAGATAGAATCATGGAAACTCTCCCTTATTCAAATGTACATGGATGATGCCACAGATACGGTACCTGAGACGTTATTCACACACAGTAACAAACTACAGTACTCCCTTAGCCGCACAGGCATTATGGAAAAAGCCTCAAAAAGCCAACCCAGAATGAATTCTTTTCCATTACGCTCTATTATTGTCAGTTTGTGTTAGGACAAGATAATGCCAAATATCACTACTAGAATTTCCATGTGAGTTTACACGGCGTGAGGCTAGGACATAATACCTGATATAATGAAAAAACTAGGTAATGCCTAAGGGAGACAGGCTATTTGCTGTGGCCGCTGTTCAATATAAACTGACACTAAACAATAGCTGTAACACTAAGGTGGCACTAGGCTGCAACCGTATGCCTTACTGTGTAAGTTATTGATAAGTATAGGCCAGCCTAGGCTGAAACACACAAACATGTCCACTTTCCGAAGAAGATGTTTTCCTTTGTATCTATCTGACAAGCCGTCAAATCTCTCCCAGTGCCTAGATTAGGGAACAAATTCTGCCTCCATTTACATCCAAACAACCCCCGATTTCATGAGGCAAAATTAAAGCTGGGAAAACTCCTGTCCCCAGAAATTCTTCCCCAAACTGTAAAGACTCTCACTGGCTACAGACAAGGCCCTGTGTACTCTGCGATCCATCATTTACCATAGAATCGTGCTCTGAAATCTCAGATTTCTTTTAAAATTATATACGCTTCTAGCCCTTATGGCTGCGGATATGAGTATGAAAATGTGAACCAAGTGAAAATTGATGGAATATCATCTGAGCCTGCAGAGAGCCTGAAAGATTAGCCCTGAAAGGTGCAAACTGCCCCATTCATCTCACTCGGGACTCTGCATACGCTGAGGTTCTATGGGTGTAGAATTCACCGTTCTTTGCATCTGAGCACCTGGCATTTTGTTTTTGGGCTTTCTGCCCTACTGTGACCTACCTGCAGCTGTCTGTTGCTGCCCGGCTTTCCCACAAGGAGTCAAATTGGACCTCAGTGCATACTTCATCTAGCAATCTATGAAGTCAGGCAGCAGAGGGTTGGGTAGCTGGAGCTGGAATCAAGCTTGCAGCCAGGGAGTGGGGGAGCCGGAAATGTAGAGTGGCCATCTAGACTGCAGAAGTCAAGGCCCAGGGGGCTTGCGAGATAAGTTGCTGTAGCTGGATCCATGCTCTCCACTTGCCCAGCAGAAATGGGGGAAGGAGATTTTGAGCTGGGCTGCCTGGATGACTTTATGGGAGGCAAGACCCAACAAACGGAGAGGAGCCATCTGGAAAGTATAGGACAAAATCCATCCTCTAAATTCATCATGGGTTAATTTTACATAAATGAGTATTTTCAACTCTGAGCAACAGCTGTGTTCGTGCCTGGGTGCTGGCGGGGGGAGGAAGGGCACCGGGAATGAAGGGTATTTCATGGAGATAGAATAAATGATCATTGCCACTGACTTGAGGGGTGCTTGCTGCAGAATTTTGTTCCATTGTGCCACAGAGCGCATGGGCTCCTGGCTACAGACTTGTAACAGCTGTCGGCAAAAAACGAAGGGCTGTCCCAAGGTGGAATGATTTGAATGCGGAAGAATTTTTTTTAATTATTACAAGTGAGATTTTAAATGTCTCACTGCAAGGCACAGCCAAATACTCCTTCATACGAGGAAGAGTAATCAAAACAACCTTAAAATTAATGCAAAACGAAGGCGACTTCCTGCAAATGAATAAGACTCAGCAGATCTGCAAGCAGGGACTACAATAACGGGGAAAGAAAGAGGGCGGGGATCAGAATTTTACTGTGGTCAGAGCAACAGGTTGGAGCCCAGTCACTGCTGCGTGGACTTTTAACTCGGGGGCTTTCCCAGAAGAGTAATTCTTTAGTGCCAGATTCTCCAAAGCCTTACTCATGTGAGTGACATGTGCAGAATCAGGCCAATAGTGTATAAGGGTTCAATCCTGCCCTGCTGATGCTAATAGGAACTTTGTCATTAGAACAGGTTCAGGACCAGGGTAAATAGGCAGTATGGCCTAGAGGGCAGAGCACTGGATCAGGAGAGCAGGGTTCTATTCCTGGCTCCGCCACTGGGCTTCTGGCTGACCTCATACAAGTCATGTCACCACTCTAGGACTCAGTTTCCCCATCTGTAAAACGGGGAGACTGTAAAGTACTTTGAGATCTACTGAGGAAAGGAGCTAGGTGGTATTATTATTACATGCCATAGGTTTTCTACAGTTCTCTACATTCACTTCCAATAGGTGAAAGTAAAATGCTTTTCCATGTTGGGAAAGTGCAGGCCAGTTGGATCCATGTCTAGGATACATCCATCACATCCTCCTTTGCGTAGAACATTCATTATTTATGAAGGCTGATTTTCAGCTTCAAGAAGCTTACATGATTTACATGTAGCCCGGTAATCTCTCTCGATGTGGTAAATTTAAATGCATAATGCAAACAAAAATATGTTGGAAACGGACACATCTGTGTGACTGTAAGAAGTCCCCTCCTGGCTCTCTCGCCTAGAATGTCAGAACTCCATTAAAACAAGTCAAAATAAAGTATTTGGGTGGAACTGCCCCAAGAGAAATAATCTGCGATTCAGGGGACTCGGTATGGTACACTAAAAGTTTATAACACAACTGAAATTATTACCATTGCCTGTTAGCTTCTTAACTCACTTATTTAAAACCAGACCAAGTGCAGAGTTCTGCCAACATTCTGAACAAATCAATATTATTTCTTTTAACCTGTAATGCCAAAACACCAACAATTGTTTTAAAGAACAGCAGCATTTTATGATGCATGATGACCAGCTTTTATTCTATTCAACATAGGTTCTTATGTCGTGCTGATCACCATCCTATCGGAGTGCCTTCCAGTAGTGCATTAAGTAACATGACTACACATCTACCATGAGGGTTTAAACCATGTTGAAGGTTTAAACTAGATTTCGAGGACTCCCAATCTCGCCTTAGAGAGCTGGGATAATTGGCTGCATCCTAAAGGGGTGTCACCAACTCTACTGCATGGGACTCAGATTTGAAAGCAGCTCAGAGTTGGCCTTGGTTTACCTGGCCTGCAGCGTGCATTGCTTTCAGCACCTGTAATGACTGCACGTGACAGATCCACAGCAACCTCATTGGTTCTGTCATGTCAGTGAAAAATAACACTGCAAAGCAATGAATGTTAAAGAGAGAGAAGAGTAGAAACCTACATGGATCTGGGTGAAACGTGACACGATCAATCCAATGTCATAAAAACGACTGGATTTGATGTTCTTATCCAACCTCCCTCCTTTGACATTTGAGAGCTTAATGAAAATGAAATAAATTGAAAAGATATTAGCTTTGTGGAAAAGGAAGACTGGATTTTGGTTTCCAGTTTACGGTCTCAACAAAATTATACACATTAGCTATCGCTGAAATACCCTCTTGGTTCATTCCAACTTTTTTCAAGACAAAAAATTCATTTAAACTAAACAAAACAATAGTGTGAAATTTTGGGGGGTAATTGTATCAACATCACCGTTTTTAGTCCTCATTTGCTCTTTTCCATTCATCTCCTGGCTTAAAAAACCTCCTCAAAACTGTTTCACAGAAAAGCCCAAGGAAAATTGTTTCATTACTTAAATCATAATTAGGCTCAGAATTATCAGCACTGGAGACGGGGAGACAAGGAATGTGAACTTTAAAATGATGATGAATTCTCATTATGTGAAATAACTCAGCTCTGTTCGAGTGAGACCCCTGCTTAAGACTGGAGATAACGTTAGTCTATTTCAGGCATGCTGCGTAGGCGAGCAAATTTTCTCTGTTGAAAAAAAATCTAATAAAATCCAAAGGACAGCGATGAACTTCTTTAGATTACCATGGAGATAACATTCGGATTGTTTTTCGGAGGTATCACCATTACCTCCCCAAGTATATTTGCTTTAAATGTTTTTGCAGTGCTTTTCCTTCAGCCTCAATGGCAAGTATGTGCACAGTGTTAATGTTTCACTCAGTCAGCCACCCCAGAACATTAATTTTCAAACCGATGGAGATGGAAAAGAACCTGATACCCCATAATTCACAAACACACAAGGTTATCTGATGCATTCAGATGCCACTTACTATAACTACTGTCCTCCTCTTTTGTCCCATCAATTGTTCCATCTGCTTGCAATTGTAAGTGGTAGCCTTGCCTGCTGTAGAGTTTTGTTACTATCCCTTTAAGCTGTGGCTCTGTAAGAAAACAAGAACAAGGTTAATGCATGAAATCTGGATGTGCCGTTGCACGTTATCAGGGTTCAAAACAAATCTTCATTTTTGACTTCAGAGATGATATATGAAAAACACCAGGATTAGCAGCTTTATATCTGTTCCCATTTAGGCAAAGATCAAATCAGTGACTATAAAAATCAATTGCCAAATGATGAAATGCCACTTTCTATTGTAATGTAGGTAACACATTTAAATCTGCTTCCAGTGAATACCAATTCCAACAGCGTGTCATTTGACTTAGGGAGCCGTGCCCTATCTCATTCAAGATTAGAAATGTGCTGGCAAAGAGTGTATTCTGGCTTTTAACAAGGTGTGAATTCTCAAAAGGAGGGAAAGAGAGAACTACTAAGATAAGGTAAGATAATAGTAATAAGAATGAAAACTGCATACCGAATCAAGAGCCTAAATATACAGCAGCTAAGGTTTACCATAAGAACTGCTGCAATTCCAATAAACAATCCACCGTTCTTTGCTGATCCAAAGAACATGCAGAATCAGAAGGGATAAACTAGTTAATGAACAGAGGTAAATAGAGGAAGGAACCCACTTTAAACTCAGCAACATGTTGAACTGTAATAGGAATATTACCATAAAAGATGCTATTTCACAGACTCAGGGGGAAAAAAAGAAAAAGAAAAAAACAGTTTGGATATAAATCTGCTTCATAATCATCTTCATGTTCAGTGTTGGAAAATGAAAGAGCCAAAACAACATTAGATCATTCTGGACTTTGAAGTAAATAGCAACAGGATTTGCTAGGAAGTCTGTACATTGAAAGAAAATATCTCGGCAATGCATCAAGAGTAATTGCAATAAAATAGGTCTACTTCCACTGAATCCCAATGACATCTGCATTGTAGTAATTGTCACACAGTTATTCTCATCAGACAGTGAAGCCTTTTTAGCAGTCTGCTTCAAACCCTTAGCTGATTCACAGATAAACACAATATGAAAATATGAATTGCCATTTTCAACCCAAAAGTTCCCACATCTGGGCAAGACTTCCTGGTCTTAAAAGGAAAGAAATCAGGGTAGATATGCTGTTACACATATTTTGGATAGGATTTGAAGCAAACCCTTATAATAGTTTGCATAAGTATATTACTTCCTATTAGCAACCTTTAATAAGTGTACTGAGGGATGCATAATTTATATACACCCTCTCATTTAATATGAAACTGAACCAAAGATCACTCCATTTTCTTGCATTAGCAATGTTCAAAAAGCTCTTAGCAAATTTAGGCTCCCTTTTTCAACTAGCCACCCTATTATTTGGCTACGTGAAAAATGCAGGCAAGTTCAGTGGCTAGAGGCAACTAGATTTTGGAAAGGCAAATTACTAGCAACATTGCTGACGGGCTTCTGCTCCTCCTGTGTCCAAAATGCACTGGATCAGAAAATTAATTCTTCATACCTGATCTTTTACACCTCTGTTACATACAGAATTGTGCGTGTATGATTTATATAAAATATTCCTAGAAAGGCGCAGGGGGATGAAAGGTTATAAAGGTCTAGAAGCTGCTGGCTAAAGTAAATAGCCTGTTCTCATATAATTGCACAAGCACAGAAATTCTAGAGACCTGAAGGAGGGAAAATAGATTATTGAACATGTAGACAGATGAACACGATTGAAGGAGAGGTGTGTGTGTGTGTGTGTGTGTGTGTGTGTGTGTGTGTGAGAGAGAGAGAGAGAGAGAGACACACACACACACTAATACATCACTGATCCATGGGTACACACGAGCGTGCATGTGAGAAAGAAGAGAAATCAATGGTGCGTGTCAGACAAATTGGTGACGAGAGGGTGTGTGAGTGAGAAACCAGCTCTACATGTCTGTGCCCCCATGTCTATTGGCAATTGCAATACCTGAGAGTTAATTTCCCCGGTCCCCCTCCCCAGGCATGATGCACATGTGTTAAAAACAGAACAAGACCAGACACATAACCCTTGCCAACCTGGTCGCCTTCTCCGTCTTTTCTTGGAGCTGAAGAGTTTGACCCGGGAGAACACATTCAGCTTGTTCTTCTCGCAGCCGCCCTTGCTCTTGCTGGGGCTGTTGACACACTTGCAAGCGTTGGATTTTTCCCGCTCCCTGGCTTGTCTCTTCTGGCGGATCAGGGAGCTGGCGATTGCTGCAGCCATGGCCGCCACCGCCCCGACACTGCCTGGGGGTCAGACGCAGGGGCTCTGGGTGCTGGCTGCAGGTGCCGCAGCCAGCATGCTGGTCTTCCAGTCCCCAAAATCTGGGGCACTGGATCCCACCGCTAATACCTTCGGCTGATGCCGCAGCACGAGCGCGCACCGCCACTAGCTTCGGCGCAGAGCAGGCACAGGCGGGATGCTTCCACCAGACCAAACCAGGATGCAACAGTTTAGCTCAAGTGGTTTGGTCAGCCGAGGAGACCCCCCCCCTTTGTTCCTTGGCTTTTATCCCTCACAACTTCTGGCAGGGCAAAGTTTGCAGGCAGGGCTCAGCGTTTCCAGGGAGATCAAGCAGGTCACTGGCAAGACATACCGCGGTGCTTCTCCAGACACAGTTCTCAGGCAGACCTGGCACGTCCACTTGGCACAAGATCAATGCACCTTTGCCCAGCTTGATTTTTCCAGTTAACTTTTCTCCCACCTTCTCCTCCCCAGCCAAATCCCAGCAAACACCTGTTAGCCTCCGGCGGAGTCGGTCTGTGGCAGGGCTTTCTGGATTCTTTTCCCTCCCCTCCTGGAGAAGGACTGGGAAGCGAGCAGCGATGAAGGCTGAGGCGGTGCTGCTGCCTGGAGCCCGGGCTGGCTGGTTCTGAATTCCTCGAGAAGCCCCCTCCCTAAGATTTTACAAGTGGAGCTTCCAATGCAGCCTCTCCTGGAGCGATGCTTTTGTATTTTGCATTGCAACACTTGTAACCATTCAGCAATCAGCAAAAGAGCTCCCCTGATGCCTGGTTGCCAGCAGCACCAGTGCTGATACTGCAGCAGCAGTAGCCTTCAGGCAGCAAACGCACTCCCTTCCTCTCTTGCGCACACACACACACACACACCAGGAGCTGTGTGTGCGCTGGATACAGAAATCAGACGATGAAGCCCTCCCCTTATCACCCCCCCCTGTTCCTCAGTGAAGGCAGCAGCCCGGGAGATCTGCCTCAGTGCCTCTTTGTGCGGAGAGTTTCAGAGAGCAGGAGCGGTTAGGAGGGAGGCTGGATCATCTGAAGCATCTCAGGTCCAGAAGGGCTGCATAGAGAACACCTGCTCTCAAGACTAGAGCCGCCTCCCGGGGAGAGACAGACACCCAAACAGACGTGACTGGGATGAGTAATTCTCCAGCAGCTCGGCCAGGGTGACCAGACATTCCACATCAATCACCAGGACACCTGGCGTGGGGCACCGGGGCAAGGAAAGGGGGCGGGATTTGTCTCTCAGGGGCATATGGGGCAGGATTTGGGGGAAGGCAGGGAGTCCAGTGGGATAGGTTTTAAAAGCTGGGGGGCGGGAGAGGAGAGGGGCCAACGCCGCTCCAGCGGAACCCTCCTCCCTTCTCAACCTTTCCCAATAGAAATTGGGATCCAGGAAAGCCCCATGTACCCCTGTGACTCCCTTGGTTGTCCCCCCCCCCCGCCTTTCAGCTCCCTCTCCTTTTGCATTATTTTCCACCATACCTGCTTCGAGCTCTGCCTTATTTCTGGCCATTCCCGGAGACTAGGAAAACCCTTGAGGAGGAGGAGAGTTTTCCAGGTTTGTTCCTTCTCTCTCTCTCATTTCCCCCCCTTCACCCCACGCCCTGATCCTTGCTCCTAGGCCACCTCTACCCCTGCCCCCCACCTCTTCCTTGATGGACAGAAAGGTCCCTGGTAGGCATGTGGGAGGCTGGGTTGTTGGTTTGAGGTTTAAGGGGGGTGCTGCTAGATTGGGAGGGCTGGAGGAGGCAAGGGTGGGGTTGCCAGGTGGGAGGAAAGGTGGGGGAAGGAAGAAGCAGGGCCCCATGGAAGTGGGGAGTAAGGAAGGGGTGTCGGGAAAGCAGAAGTTAGGGCAGGTTGTGAGGGCAGGAGAAGGGTTGCTGGTTTGGAGGGGCAGGAAGGGTGTGCAGAAAGGAGGAGCTGCTAGTCCAGTGCCACTGAAGGCTGTAGGAGTCTGTCTGTCGCAATCAGGCAGTGGATGAGTAGCAGAGCCTTGTGCCAGGAGCTCTGGTCCTATCGTAGCTAATGCTCTGCATTGTGGCCACAGCAGCCTCCGTTTATATCTGAGTCACAGCAGCAGGAAGGAAGGTCCTGTGGGCCAGTGAATGAGGCAGGTGACCCAGGATCTATGTGCAATTCTGCCACCGATTTTGTGCAACCTTGGTCAAGTCACTTCCTTCCGTCGACCAAGATCCGACAGCTTGGAGCTGAAGTAAGTCAAATTCAAAGTGGAAATAAGGTGCAGTTTGAGACACGGAGGCTGATTAACCACTGGGACAACTTATGTGGGGTCATGGTGGAGAATCCACCACTGGCAGAGTCTCTAAACCGAGATTGGTTGTTTGTCTTTCCAAAAGGTTCGCTGCAGCTCAGCCAGAAGTTACAGGCTTGATGCAGGAAATCCTGAATGGGATTTTATGGGCTGTGCTAGGCAGGAGGCCGGACCAGAGGATCCCTTCTGGTCTCAAAATCTATCAATCTGTGGGGAACAGGGGCCAGAGGAGCAGATATTTCTTTTGCTGCTGCATAACTTGGCTTAGGATTTGCAGGGCAGCACCACCTCTGGCTCAGGTCGGCCCAGCAACAGCCAAGTGTGACGGGGTGGACCTGGCCTCTGTGGCTCCCTACAGGAGCCCCGCGGGCCTACTACCAAGAGGCTGCCAAGTGACAGGAAAGGAGCAGTGAAGGTGGCTCGTCCAGGCCTCACAGAAGCAGCCAGCCAGGGCCCAGCAGGTCAGATAAAAGGAGCTGCAGGACCTTAGCCTGCCAGTCGCTGGCTGGGACCAGAGGGGCAAGGA